GGTGTCGTGACCAGGACTCAGCACTGCCACTGCAGCCTGGGATCTGTTCCTGGCTGGGAGATGAGGACTGGAAACCTGACATTTCGGTATTACTATCCTGAGGGCTGGGGAATAGAAGTATTTAATAATTAAAGCTAGGAATGAACCCCCAAAATGTACTTGCCATTTACTTATGAATTACCCTAGGATTCCAAAAGGACATGGGATTTTTTAGTTCTAGTCCAAAAACTCGTGGAAAGCAACAGAAAGAATAGTCGAGGCTGCAAGGACTTGAGAAAGCAGCATAGTCAGAAGAATAAAGGCAACAGACTTGGGACAGCAGGGGAAAATACCACTAGGGAGGAAGGAAAAAGCTATGCCTACCTATTGGGTTTCACTGGATTTAAGTGAACTGGAGTGTGAGAATTTGATGCAGAACTTGAAGTTAAATCTAAAGTTACTTAGAGATGTGTTTCCTAAAGTGAATTTGATGACTTTAATGGAACGTGAAAAGAATTTGAAGGGGATGCAATTTCCTGGTGTCAGCAGATAAATGATACAAGGGATCCTTGTGCCGTACGACAAGCTAAATTTTAAAAAGGAATCTATAAAATCAAGGAATGGAAAATACCAAAAGCAAAGTAAAAAGACAAGTGGTACCTTGCTAACTCTAGCATGTAAAAAAGACTTTGCAACAAGAGGTGAGAAAATTAATGTTAGAAAAACTGGCAAAAGCTAAAGGAAAAGCACTTCTATACATTAGTGATGGAAAAACAAAAATGATACAACCCCATGTGGACATTGTCATTACCAAGCAAAATAATATGTGTGCTATGCTTCAACCCAGCAAATGTACATCTACAAATCTTCTTCAAAAATATTCTTACAAGAATGTGAAAAGATGTATATGTAAGACTGTGTTTGTAATACAATTTTTAATAGCTAATGACTGGAAACATTTAAGACATGTTAAATAATTATAATACAGTCACACAATGATGCACCATGTATCTATAAGAGTGAGAAAAATCTCCACATGCAATTAGGGAGTGATCTCTGAAACATATTACTAAATGGGCAAAATCAAGGTGGGAAATTTTATATAAAATAGATGAATGGGTCAAAAATGTGATGTTTTCACACAATGGAATATTATTCAGTGATCAAAAATTACAAACTCATGCCATTTGTGGCAACATGGATAAAACTGGGAAGAATTATGCTAGCTGAAATATTTCATAAGGAAAAGATAAATACTGAATGGTGTCACTAATATGCATAATATAGAGGAAACAACCAAAGTGTCAAGAAAAATACAAAATGAGGAAGCTGACCATAAATCTGAGCATACAACAAGAGAGGGCAAAGGGAGTCAAAATAAGGGAGTGAAGAGCACAAGGGAATATGGTTCATAGATGTTAAGGTATTGGGAGAACCTGAGGACTACATATACCTAAGGGGAGAAACCAACCACTGTACAAAAGTGAACAATGACATAAGAAAAAAATATTTTTAAGATTTATTTTATTTACTCATTCAAGAACTGGAATACAGATCAGAGGTGGAGGGAAATAAGAGAATTCATTAGAGATGGCATGGGAAGCAGAACAGGCAGATCAACTGAAGTACACTGCTGAGGAGAACAGCAGGTGAGACAGGAGAGGTCTGCCATGCCATGTGGGTCCTCCCTAGCCAGGGGATCAAACTTGTGCTGCAGGGGCTGTAAATTGCTTCATAGTGCTGCATTTAATCCGTTACACCACCAGAGAGAACACTGACAAGAAGATTATTTAATTTAAAAAACAAACTGCTTATTTTGAAGTTAAAAAAAAATAGTGAAACTTTTCAAGCATTGACAACTTCACAGTACAGGGGTGTCTGTCAACTTGGACCTCAAACTGGTTCTGGAACTGGAACCTCTATGTAGGAACTTGCTGAACCCATGGCATCAGGTTGTAGCGATTACATAAATGGGGTATCATGGCCTACGTGTGTGCGTGTGATCATGGAAAACACCTTAAAGAGATAAAATCTGGTTAAAATCTGGTTTTGGCAAGCCTCACACAAAAAATACAGTTGTTGGTCTCAGAGCCTAGAGCCTGGACTGTGATCATTATCATCCACAGCACACAGGTGGGACCAGAAGCGCCTGTGTCCTGCCCACAGTTCATACACTGTTTCCTGTCAGGTCTGTGTCTTGCAGAGCTCTCCCTTGCTCTGGTGAGCCTGCAGCTCAGTAGCGTCTGCTCACATAGTGTCTCCCTTGAACCACGTGTCTGGCCAGGAGACACGTGGTTATTTCCTTTGAGTAATAAAAACTATGATTCATTTAGGCCCAGGGTACTGGTTTTGTCAGTGTCCCCATTTCAGACAGGCATGTTGAGAGTCACACAGAAGTTCATCCTCTCTGCCCCGGCTTACAGTGCTGATAAACCCACTTGTCTCAGGGCAAACTCCTACAACCTGCCTGGTGTCTAACTCCCTGTAAGTTGGCAGACACCACAGTGGGCATGCTCCAGGTGGGTGCACACTTTCATCCTGTGAAGGTCTTGATTTCCTCCTCTCTGTTCTTACCTTAATAGCCTAAAAGAAAATCTGAATATCGCACATGCTGTTCCTTACTTCTGAGTCAGTCTTAAGCAGACCTGCTTCCTCTCTTCAAGAATCTTCCCTAGACCCTCCTGTTGTAAGGAAACTTCCAAAAAAGAAAAGTATCTGGTGCCTCTAAAAGTTTTCCTGGGATCTATTTTCTGTTCCTGAAGCCAGTCCCACTGTGTGTGGAGGCCTCCTCACACAAACAATTCTTGGATGCCCAGTAAGGTGGCCACTATTCCACTTGCTTCAGCTTGTATTAATACAGTCTACCTGGAAAAGCACATCAATATCCAAGACTGACTTAAGATGCCAGTCACAAGCCCAGGTTGTTATCTTAATTCTTACTAACTTGCCACAGATTTGAGATGTCCATTCCCAAGTCTCCTTAGATTTCAGATTCAAGTCTCAGTGCCAGCTTACTTCCTGGCTATAGATTGGGAAGCAACCCTTCTCAAGTTTGATTAATTTACTAGAGCTACTCACAGACTTCAGGAAACCCATTTACTCTCTAGATCACTGATTTTTTTTACAAAGGATATAACTCAAATGGAAATACATGGGAAAAGACAAATTTTCCTTCCCTCTCCAGGCACATAAGCATCTCTTAGGTGTTTATGGAGTTTCCATTACTTGATTAAATTACTGCCCATTGGCAGTTGATTCAACCTACAATCTCTCTCTTCTTCTTGGAGACATGGAGGTGGACTGGAAATTCCAACCCTCTAGTGTGATAAAGATGTCTCTTGCCAAGCTAGGTGCTTCCCAAAATGTCACTTTATTCGCTAATTAAGAAGCACTTTTATCAGTCTCAATGATGAGGAAACTCCCAGTGCTTATAGTGCTGTGAGCCAAGATCAAGTACCTATGACGTGGTTATTTGAATAGGATATACACATGTTATCTGAATAGGATACACACACACACACACACACACATTTCTCATACACTGTATTTCAGTTTCTAACAGGCAGTACCAAAGAGAGAAGACTGAACCCCTTCTCTGGTCTTGTGGCCTTGTCACAATAAGCAGTCATGTGACTTTGGTTGAGTTCTAAGACTTGGAATATGTGAACACTAAGGTGTCTCTCTGCTTTCAAGGAGTTTGAGTCTAATTTAATAAAAGTTTCTAGGGTGTTATAGACATAAAAGAACATGAGATATCTTAACATCACAGAATATATTGCTTGTTCATTTTCTAAAATGGACCTGAGCTTGAAGAACATCTATTGACATAAAAGTTAGAATATCTCTCATTATTGATAGAATAATTCTATCAATAAAAGTTCTTTCTTGGTCCTGCTTGGAATGTTTGCAAATTTACAAGTATGGCATTTGAATCACAGCATCTGTGCTAGGTAGAGAATGGTGGTGTGAGAAAGGAGGAGAATTCTTCTGTAGTTCCTGGTTAGAAGATAAATTGAAGAAGGTAGGTACAAAGTAATTTGGCATTTAAAGAAAAACAAATGTAGTTCATTTTGAGTCACCTGCTAAAATAAAGTGGGAGTCTATGTTGAGAATGAATGATTGAAATGTCAAAGTAAATGTAAAACATAGCCAGAGACATTTCAAAAATAAAGGTGTTAGACAACAGGTTCATTAATGTATTTTAAAGACTACAGCTAAGATAACTATATATTAAACATATTTAAAACATAGTACACTTAATATACACTAAAACATACATAATGAAAGAGAAAAACAAAATCATTCCATTTATTAGACTAGTTATAGCAACAAAATTCTCTTGATCATATATTTTCACATAAAAAAATATTATCTTGCCTTTATTAGTCATCCCACTGACACACAAAGTTATAAACCTAGAAAAATAATTTTCTTAACACTAAAATTTAAATGAAAACCTCATACCCTTTGATTTTCAGCAGTGCCTGCGGCAGCTTTAAATAGTTCCATTTATACAAATATTCAAAATTCAAGCCTGCCTTCCTTTCCTGATCTCTTCCCTTTTCTTGCTCTCTGGCTACCACTATAGTTCGCAGGTTAACAACTGATCCTAGTCATCATTTAAATAATGACAATAATAGTAATAGTAACAGAGTGCTAAGTTTGAGTCAAGAAACCTTTTTAGTAACTTATTTACGTTTGTTTGTCCCCCCGCACACACACATATGAAATAGACATTTTTATCATAAATTCTAATTTTATAGATGAGCTAACAGAGGCACAGAGAGGTTGGGAAACATCCCAGGGTCACAGACATAAGTAACAAATTCAGGATCAGTGCTCATGCATCTGGCTGCCCCACCATGCCACATGGCCTCCACCCTACAGGCATTTCAAGTGGCTTTTTTTTTTTTTTCAGATTTTTAAGATTAAGTTTATTAGAAAGACATTAAAGAACAGACACTTGCATAGACGCAAGTGGGCTGCTTCAAGTAGCCATTTTTTTAAGTAAGCGAGTAACTTTTTTTTTCTTATCTTTTCTTTTTTTTTTTTTTTTGCTGTGTAGTAGTTAATGATCTGGCATCTATCCTGCATCTAAACATTTATGTATGATCAACAAATATTTTGGGCCATTATGAGACCCAGAGAATTATTTGAATTAAGATTTCATCTGTCATGAAGGATAAAAAGGTTGTTTGGGGTTCTCTTTAAGAAGTCCCCATAAGTTGCTTCAAATGAAGAAGTCCCACGCAGTGTCTTAGTGGGCTTCCAAGGGCCATGCCCCTGTAATTGTGTTTGGGTGCATTAAATGCAGCATGAGGCTGAGTCTCTTACAACAGACTTCCAGCTAATTGCCCTGCCGGCAAGCTCCCACACCCCAGTTACTGTCCAGGGTGTTAATCGGTAGGTAACTATTGTAGGGGAGTGAAGGCACCATTCCTGTGACACTGTCACCTAGAGATTGACAATTCATGATCTAAAAATCCTATAGTTCAATTACTAGCATTGAAAAACACATATTTACAAAAGTGTGCCCTTTTTGCAATACATGAGTTTTTGGCATCATAACCAGCCTCACAGTTGCTGAGTATTCCTTTGTGTATGAGCCCAGACATCCAGTGCTTGAAGGAAAAATAGGAGGTTTTTTAATTTCAGAGTCTTCAGGAAGCAAATTATCACAGCTAAATATTTAGTCTTACCCTGTGCAACAAGCAGGGTTGTCATCGCATTAAATATTTGAAATAATGTCCTTTGTACAAAAAGGCTCAGATATTTGGTTTCCAGTATGTCAAGATTTCTTTCTTATACTCAAAGTTCCTGAGTATCAAAACTGTGAAAGAACAGGCAACAATTCTGGCTCATCTCTACATGGCTTGACTGCTTTTGCAGGCATGAGGTAAAGAAGATCTTTCCAGAATCTTGAGTTATAAGACAGAGATTGTTCAGCTTTCCACTTCAGAACTCTGTGAGATTTTAAAAGCTCTAGTGATTGGGGCAAGAATGTGAAATCCCTGACAGATGTAAACTCAATTAAAATAACTTTTATTTTCCTTTCCACCAGTGCTTCATGGAGTCCACTTTCAAGTTCATACCTGACTTCATTCGACATATAACTTTTACTGAGGACAATGATTAGTCTACGGCTTTTCTCTATTAGTGAGTGGACTTCATCAACAACAGCTGAAAATGAAAGATATAGCATATTAATGAAAAAGTACCAAAGGGTGGATCTGAAATAAAAATATTTTATGGATATTAACTTATTTGATCATTGGAATTACTCTATCAATAACGTTTTGTTATCACTTTACAGATGAAGATACCAAAACACAGAAGAATGAAGCAACTTTCCCAGAGTCACACAGCCAGTCTAAAAGTTCACATATTAATTTAGAAACTGGCTCTTCTGTCTATACAGAATATTCAGACTAGGTATTCTTATACAGGGTGGGACATTTCTAGAGGTGTCAATTCTGGATGTGGTTCTGAGAGTGGAATGCCCATTTCTTTCCCACAGATTCAGAGAACTAGGCAGGAGAATAAGACACCAGTTCCTAGACAGGATGCTTTCAGAATAAGTGTAGCTAGAAAGTTCTCTTGCTATTGATTATACTGATTTAGTTGCTTATTTTCAGTGTTAATGCTCAAGCCCATTTGCTTATAAGGGAGAACAGGATAGTGTTTTGTAAGACTAACCCATTTATTTTTTTAAACAAGTATTTCCACGAGTTTTCTATTTAACATTCCCTTTCTTACCTCTTCCAGGCACTACATCTCTTTCAAAAATACATAACTTATACCCAAAATGTTTCTCCAACACTCTGGGCAAAATCTCCACAGCAAAGGTGTGTTCCTCTCCATTTTCAGGTTGACATTCTTTTAGGTAAGACACAAAAGCATCATAGGTTTTTCCATCTAGGAGATAAGGTCATTTCTTTTTTAATTAGGGTGCAAATAAAATTATTTTAATCCAAATTTGAGTGGAAGTCAAGAATGAGAAAAGAATCATTGAACAAGAAAAGCTAAACATAGCACCCTCAAGTTGTATATATTAAGTACTTGTGTTTTTTTTCTATATTGATTATTCTTCAATAACACTTTAAAAAACAAAGACATGTGGCCCTCCCTGGTGGCGCAGCGGGTTAAAGCTCAGCACTAAAAAGCTAAAGTCACTTCCA